CAGTTTTCAGCAACTGTTCTAATGTTTGTGGTGTCGCTAACCACGTGAGCTTACAATCAACAAGCCAGAAATAGTTTTTGAATTTGAAGTGTAATAGGGAACATAACAACAACAAAGAAAATACAATTATTGTTTCAGGTATAAAATAAAACTTGTCTATCTTCATGATACTTAAAAATGTGTACAGTATTTGACATGCCATGTTGTATATCAATATTCAATGGTTTCCTGCAGCTATTGTGGCGTAGCAAGCCAGATTGTTATTTCATGCACAAACAAAAATAAAGAATTTAAAAAAAAAGGGGGGGGTAAAATTAAATGTTAAAAATCACGTTTCATGTTGTTATCTATTTCATAAGTTGCATGGTTTAGCTGCTGGCGTTAAAGGAAGAGCTACATCCAGGGTACTTTTGCAAGATACTTGTACTAGTTTACACCAAGTTCTTGGCTAAAGCTGAAGACACACTAAGGTCGTTGGCACTTTAGTTTAAACAGAGCTTTTTCTTGGTCACTTCCTTTATTTAAATTGCCTCATGCTGGGATGCCACATTTGAGTTGTTACCACCTTGGTCACAGCTGGGCCTTAGCTGGGAACGGCCTTCCAGAGTCCAGATGCTGAGCTCTAGTGATTAACTCGCTGGAAGATGGTAGCAGGCGTTGCCACACCACAGACACCTCAGAGTAGATAAACAAGAACATATGATGGAATGGAAATTAAGAGGTTTAAATTGAAAATTATGAAAGAGGAAGTGGGAGGGCAATTGAGGGCCCACTCATCTGTTTCTGACCCAAGGCACTCCTTAACTGACAGTCAACATCCAGAGTTCAAATTTAAAATGCAGTGTCCAAGTGATTAATTGGCATGAATCCACTGGCTGAAAGCCAACATATTCTAAAGCAGTATCATTGATTTTACTATGACAGATGGTGGGACTGGGTCAGATGAAAGTTAGAGATTATGTTTAATCTGTGCCAAAGCTGAGAATGAGGAATATCCAACTTTGGCAGATTACATTTCAGGAATGCCATTTGTTCCATGAGCGGAGGTGCCAGTTGCTAACAGGCACAGTATATCGCCAATAACAATTACAACTTGCTCACTCTGTACAGTGGATGGGGGATAAGAGACGTGAGAAGAGGAGAGAGAGCAAGCCCCAATATCTTCTTGTTATCCCAAGAAGATCTGTAATAGGGGGCAAAGGAGGTTTTCCAAGGCATCTCTGCTGTGCTACTTTCTTTCCTAGAGGAATGCGTAGTGAGTCCTACCAAACAAATTGCAACTAATTGCAATAATCAATAGTGTAAAGCTGATCTGTATTGAATAGTATTACTTCCCCACCCCCTTTTGTTTTCTTCTTTACAAAAAGTAAGGGAGAAAAGGGGAAAGCAATGAAATGAAAAAATAAAAAAAAACAATATTTTTACAATGTATTAATTTGTAGTGTAATCACAGAAAATGCTGATATGCTCAGATTGATTTTAAAGATGATGTCAAGATATCACTACTGTGTCTGAATTTAGTAAGTGATAATTAATGAATTGTAACTGTACATAATGGAGGAATAGTTACACTTGGAATTATATTAGTATATAGAAACTATAAGCGATAATGGATCAATATTTTACTGAAATTAGTTTTGTAACATCATTCCTATATTTCTCAATAAACTAATTTGGAGATATAGGATATAATAGGAAATCATATGGCAGTAGCAGCATCTCTTGTATCCTTATGAAACCATACTTGGATATTTAAAGTAGGATTTATAATTATGCAATTTCTTTTAAAAATGTTGGTAATGGAAAAGCATAATTTATTTTAACAATGTTGGCAAAGGAATCACATTATTGCTTATTTTTTGTTTTTCTTTATGTTGGCACACACCTACAAATAATTTATATACTAAGTCAGGGGTTCCCAACCTAGTCCTCAAGTACCCTTTATCAGTCCAGGATTTAGGGATTACTCTGTTGTGTCTCACATGTTTTTTTTCTTTATAAAAACACCTTAGATATGATTGGATAATCCTTGAATCCTGGACTGTTAGGGGGTACTTGAGGACTGGGTTGGGAACCACTGTTCTAAGAAATATTCAAGTATGCAACTGACAATAAATCAGCATAAAGGACAGGGAGAAGCAGGGCCTTAAAATTATCCTCAAAATGCAATGCCTTAACTGGGCTCTCCCCAAGTTAAAAATGCCAACCAGATGTGGTCCCCATGCTCACTGTGCCTAGAGGAGTATCAGATGTTCTTTGCTGTTGCCGTGTTTACCGATAGGCGATCTCACTTGCAGTCACACCCCATGCGTCTGACATCACACACTCCTTTGTTAAAGGGATGCCGTGGATACTACTCAATTTGTTTCCAAGTGCCGTCTGAGCTCCCTGAACTTCCAAACCGACCTTGCTGAAGGCAGACCATCACGAGAGCCTTACCCATATTTGCTGCTTTGTCACCACAAACCCATTTTTGCCTGTGTGCTTGCCTGCTGTCCAAGCAACACTTCCACCATCTTCTTCAGTACCTGCAATATATTGTCTATGTGTTATCCATTCATCACCTCAGCATGGAGGAGAAAGGAGCAGTGCCCCTGCATGCCTACCAAACTACTGACCAACAAAGATCTTCCTCACCGGCCAACCCATTCTCATGAAGTGGGGGCAAATCTCTGTAGTGTGTGCAACACCCAGCCTGCATGGGAAGAAGACTACACACCTGCTTCTTCTCCTTTGCAGTAGGCTGCTGAGCTGCTGCACCAATTGGAATAGAGCAAGCGGATCTATGACATCACTGTCATAACCCCTGCACGTCCTCCTGTCCTATTGTGTTTTACACCCCATGTCCTATAGACTGTAAGCGGGTTTGAGCAGGGTCCTATTCAACCTATCGTTCCTGTAAGTTTTCTTGTAATTGTCCTATTTATAGTTAAATCACCCCTCTTAGAATATTGTAAAGTGCTACAAAATCTGTTGTCGCTATATAAATGTCAATAATAATAATGTAAAAGAAGAAAAGGGGTCCAAAAAGGACAGCCAGCAAGGACTGGAGCCAGGCAATGCAGTCAGGAGCATTGCTCTCCCCTCCAATACTCTACATTGCCCTGGCCCTTTTCATGCTCCATTCCAGCTAGGAGCCAGTGGCAGCCATCAGCATATCCAGCAAAGGGAGCTGCCTATGTGAGGAGAGGAAGGCACAAGATTTCCTAATTCTTGCTATAGATGTTTTGGAAGCAAGCTGATCATTTTTGTGAGTTGAGCTCCATACACCTTGCTGACACAGGAGACTGAGATAAACACCTGAGTACAGTGTCAGAGTTATTTCGGTGAAAGGACTATGAGGAAAGAACAATATCTAAAGAAATAAAATTTGCCCTAAAAACACCACAAGATAGGCTTCTCCAATACAAAAAAAAAAAAAAAACGAACAAGAAATCAAGAATCCTGTTGGTAGTTACCTACAACCCATTTTTAAAATTAATAAAGACCTACAGCCATGAATCTCAGAGGACCCCACACTCAAATAAAAATATCATCAGCTCCAATACTAGCATTCAAACAACCACTTAACCTGAAACAAAGATTGGTCCACAGCAAACTGGCCCCCAGAACAGGAGCTCACACAGAATGACACTGTAGTATACAACAAATCCATCTGCAAACTGTGCCAACATATATGTGTCAATAAAGCAGCCAGACACAACAACAAAACATACAACATTAAGGGATCATATTAATCCACAGCTAGAAACGTGGTGTACATGTTACACAGTGTACTGCATGGAATGAAGGTTGTTACATTGGAGAAACTGGCCTTAAAGGATCACTCTAGGCACCCAGACCACTTCCACTTAGCCAGGTCCAGCTAGGGTTAACCCATTTTATTATAAACATAGCAGTTTCAGAGATGTTTATAAATGGGTTAATCCAGCCGTTTATAAATGCTTTAATCACAGTGAGAAGACGTTTATAAATGGGTTAATCACAGTGAGAAGACGCCAGCGTCCATAGGAAAGCATTGTAAAAGCTCCTGCCGCACATGCGCATTCGGCCAAAGAGGAGGAGGAGAGCTCCCCGCCCGGCACTGGAGAAAGAGGTAAGTTTAACCCCTTTCCTTGCCATCCAGCCCGGCGGGAGGGGGACCCTGAGGGTGGGGGCACCCTCAGGGCACTATAGGAGTATCTTTTCCTGGCACTATAGTGGTCCTTTAAGCTGCATCTCAAAATGAATCTACACAGACACTCAATCAAGAAACACAAGGTAAAACAATGCATTTTAAAGCACATTTAAAGAGTGAATCATTTATAAATAAGAAAGATATGAAAGCACATTTGGCTTTATATATGATGAGCAAATTACAGGGGGAAAGTTGTAATCATGGAAAAATCATCAAGAGTAGACCATTTATTGCTATGGAGATTAGACTACATTTAGAAATGTGCCCCACAATAGCTCTTTATGTAGAAACCCCTTTGTTCCAAATATCACAGTAGATCATTATCCCATGCAATTGTGTATGTCCAATCAAAATTGTCCAAATAAGGAATAATCAAACCTTATTAACTTAACATTTATAAATTACTCAGAAACACAGAAAACAGTAGTAGATAAATAGTGCAAATAAACTTTTAGAGGTAACAAAAAGTGCAAACTGTTTTACTAGATATTAATTAAATATTGTAACAGTTATAATAAACGTTTTATATAAAAAAAAGTGCAAATATGTTGCTGTTAATTCTGTAACAGTAAAAAATGTACAAAAAACATTTGGAATTAAATAAAGTTTAAACACCTTGAAAACATATTGCTAACTAGCTTTCTATTCCAATTTTAGAAAAGCAAGACGTACCAGTATCATGGCAAGCAACTCGACAGTTTTCAAAAAGTAATGTACAGACATTATTTAAAAAAGTACTTTAAAACAACTAAATTAGTTTAACAGGAGATAAAAACAGGGCTCTTTAACCTTTAGGGCAGACTTGTCTAACCTGTGGCCCCCCAGATGTTGCTGAACTACAACTCCCATGATTCATTCATTGAAACAGATAGTCAAGGCATCATGGGAGTTGTAGTTTAGTAACATCTGGGGAGGACCATGTTGGACAGCCCTGCATTAGGAAGGTGCAATGTGTAAACTGTTTTCTAAAGATTTGGATGATAAAATATGCCAACAATTCTAAAAGTAATTTAAAAAAAAAATAAGGACTTTAAAAAAAATAAAAAATAACCATTCCAGTCAAAATTTTGAAAAAATCATTATTAACCAACATTGTAATTTACAGACATGATTGTATTGTTATGTAAGCAACATCCCTTGTACCAAGTCGCTTTTTGAAGCCAAAATATCAATGATGGTTTCATTACATAAAAACGACCTCTCACATGCTACTTGAGAAGAGGAAAGTTTCAGTGTCAATTTGTATGCCTGAAAAAGTGAACAATACACCAGGCTGTATAAGTTGTAACTCAAGAGGAAAAAACTCACAGGCACTCCAACTTCAAGCCGCAGGCAGATTTATTATGACAGAATGCAACGCAACGTTTCGACCGGAAAGGTCTTTTTCAAGCTTGAAAAAGACCTTTCCGGTCGAAACGTTGCGTTGCATTCTGTCATAATAAATCTGCCTGCGGCTTGAAGTTGGAGTGCCTGTGAGTTTTTTCCTCTTGGATTATTGTACTGGGATTGCTGGTCCTGCTCTGGAGCACCCTTGGCCGTTGGGATTGGGTGCGGTTCTCATCACTTACTCTGCTGTATAAGTTGTAACTAACACATTGTAGCAGCAGGCTATACAGCTTTTACAAGACTTGAACTTTCCACTTTTATCATCAACATTTCAGTATGACTGTCCCTCAGTTTCAGAGATAAGATGAGAAAGGATGGTGGCTTCCTGATTACATATGCCGTAGGCGGGGAATGTTGCACTAATCTTCAATACTAGAGCAGGTCCATGCTGTCACGGCAAGGGTACATAATTTATTATTGCACAAGTTTGATATAATTTGTGCAGTGCATCAATAATTGGACCCCTGGCTAGAGGACAATTGGCAGAGATAAATTGCTCTTTTGATCAAAAGGGGCTTCTGCAGGGTGTGATATGGGTTGCCCTTTTTGATCTATCAAAGCAAGGTGAGACATTTTACACTTAAGCTGCCAGTAGGTCTAGTTTCAATGTAAACTAACTAACTTTGACCATATGGCTTGAAACTATCAATGGATAGTTCAATCCTTTGATATGGTAATGGTATTAGTTTCATGAAGACCAGTAGGAGCCAGTATCATATATAAGAGAAACAGTAATACTTACCCACAGCTTAATAAATAAGCCTCATTTTTATTATATTTGGGATGGGACAAGCCCAATCTTTTAATTAAGCCTAAACATGAGTTGCACAACTTAAACCGTGTGGCAGAAATGGTGATATCCGTCCTATTGGATCATGGGTGGGGCGTGCGACATGTCTATGGAATGGGAAAATAATAACAAATTTGTAGATGCAATTATTATTTCTGTGGCAGGTTCATAAAAGAAGATAGAACCAAATGTTTCCATTTGGATTGACTGTGGTCTGGAACAAAGGAGGTGGTCACTTATTATTTCTGTAAGTACACCTTAACTGCACCCCTGGGCAAGACTTGATAATCCACAGGGTATATATCCAATGCTTGGGAGGGGTGTGGGTATACTTGCTCGGGGGCCAGAATCTAATTCTAAGTTAGTCACCATCTTTTCTTGCCAGAGACCCCCTGGACAGAAGTTGTACTTTGAAAACCTAAGTGAGTAATTAGGATTTCTGCATTTTATCCTTTTCGTTTTTATCTATTGTTGGTGTAAATCATTTGTTTATCAAATATTGTTATATGCACTCTGACTATTTTTTGCTCATAATAAACACTAATTTATTAAGTTCTGCCTTTGTCTGGTTAAGAATCACGTTACCTGAAGAGACTAGTTTGTATTTTTGAAATTCCTTAAATATTGTTCTAAGTAATATTTGGTGGATTTTATTATTGATTTACCTGGGGGACCAAGGCACCCCATTTATAAATTGTCTTGGTGGTAGCAGTGCTAAAATAGTAATATTTATATTATTATGTTTAAGTGTGGGTGGTGTTTAAAGAGGAATTTTGTCATTATGTACTGTTTAGTGCAGACAGATAGTGAACTTTAACCCTTTCATCACCACAACTACGTCGCACACACTCTTGGAGTAGGGTGCGTTTGGGACACATGCTCTATTCTACGTGATAATAATATACCTACATTTACATATTACACTACTGGATTTTTAAATTTTTATCTTCACATATCTTGGTATCTGTGACGAGACCAATCTCGCCACATTGTATTGGAGAAGCCTGGTTGTCCGCCTGCGGCCTTTGGACTATGGCCCCATTTTAAAAGACATATTTTTCCTCGCAGAAAAGACTTATTCAATCTACCAAACAACCGCACGTATGACTCGACCACCTGGGAGCTGGGGTGTGCCGGCAATTAGCCTCCCTGAAGTAGCGGTTAACCGCAGCTTAATTGATGAATGCTGGGTGGCCGCCATTCATATCACAAACACGAGGTCGCGGGCATTTTAAACCCGTGAACGCACAGCGGTGTTCGACGCTCAATTAATGGAACTAAAATCGGACACAGTTTTGCGCGAACACCGCTGAAGCCGCCGACCTCCCTTCTTGTTTGGTGAAAGTACACGAACGGCTGGTGTTCGGTAGTTTTACTTGTCTATGTTATACCCCAGATAGGAATCCCATGGAGCCCATTCGCATGAGAACTGACTGTGTAAAGACTTTGGCTCCATGGCGATTGAACTGTATTCGTGTAGTCTGAGCGCCATTCGCTTAATAATGTGCGCTCAGACCTGAGCTATCTGGGGACATGTTAAATGTATAGTTTTAATGTAATGTGTTGTGCATTTTAATAGTAATTCCTGTTTTAGTATCCCCACGTGCATAATGGAGATTTGCCTTTGTCTTGGGAAATAATTGAATTACTTCTCAATTATCTCCAAGGCAGAGGGGAGGAAGCCAGGATGCATTGTGGGAATATACTGTGACTGTGTGTCCTAATTGTCTACTTGTCTGTCCCTTGTCACAGTCTCCCATTTGGTCCCCTAGGGGAGTGTCCACCAGGTGGGAGACCTGCATAAATACTGGGCAGGTAGCCCTCATTAAACAGACCACTGCTTGACCCACAACACGGAGCCTTGTCTCGTCTTTGGGGGGATTTACTGTATGCTGATAGAAACTGATTGTTAGGAGTGTAAGCCGCTTGGAGGCTTTTCTTATTCGTCTGCTAGCAGCTATTCGTATGGTTCCGGTTCGTGTGTTTGGAGTGCTGTATTGGATGCCGTTCGGGAGTTTGGAGCATTCACTCATTGGCGGTTCATGAGTTTGGTGTTTTATAATAGCTGTGCCTGCATCTCTGGAAAGGGGGCCGATCGCCTAAACAGTTTTTACCCCTTATGTGCAAAACGGTCCGTTACAGTATCTTAGAAAATCTACCAACAATACTGCTGTATATATATATATGTCAATACGGGGATTATACCGTCTACGCCTAATACAGCAGAGCTCTTTGTAGCTCAGAAAATTGTGAGTGTGCAATAGTCACAATATTGTACTTAATGTTTTAAAAAACATACTGCACCATTATTGTTCTCTTTTTGAGATACTTGGCACTTTGCTACGAACAAAAAAAGACCCAGACAAAATGTGTATGTATATATATTTTATTTGTGATTTTTCACTTAAAGGGTTACAAAACTATTTAAGTGTGGTCTTCCACCTTGATTTTGTTCTAATTGTTTTTCTTTTTCACAAGGTTTTGGGATTCTTGTAGGATTGACTGCTGTTTTTTTCTTATAATATATAGTGAGCATCTAAACTTGCATTTCTATTTCTTGTCTTTTGCCTTGTACAGTGCCCTATTGTGGTTCAATTCATTGTTCCCTATAGTGCTACCTTTTTCCTTTATTGATTCTGAATTCTTCTGATTCTCTTCTTTTTTGGCTCAGCTTGTGCTTTGACTTTCCTGCTCTCTGGTATCCTGACTATTCCTTTATCGCTCTCCCGATTTCTGGTGTCCTTATATTTTCAGCTATCCTCTGACTACTCTATTTCTGTACAACTTTAAGCCTGACCATCCTAAAGTACGATAAAGTGTCCTCTTTTAGGTATGGGGTTACACACTGCATGTTGGGGTTTACTTTACTGTGGCAGGGTCCGAAAGGCTTTCATGCCATCTGGGTTTAAATCCGGGCCTACCTGTCTATGATGACTACTCACTGATGGCAGTAATGTGGCCAACACTAAGGCTGATTAGACTTTTCTCACCTGCTGGTTTCCAGACTTTCTGTTGCACTCTTTTATCTCACTTTTCTCTTTAGTCCTTTTTGTTTATATCTACTTTACTCTATTATGGTCTTCTTTTTTCCAGAATTTCTCCAAAATGCATTTCTCATATTTGCTTTCATTAATTATCCTCACAAGTGGGATAACACTCAACTCTTCTGATGCTTATTTCTTACACATGTTGTTTATCAATACATATTTTTTAGCATGTATATTTATTTAGTTTAATGTTTCATGTTTTATCAGCCTGGGTATTCGTCCTTCAAACACCCATGTAATAGGCTGAATTTATAGTCAGATTGTAGCCAACGATTTTGCATTTTTTAACTTTATGCGTTTATCTCCCAGGGTGACCCTTTTTGCTTTTTTGTGTGGTCTGTGCTTTGGTACATGGGATTCTTGGTAATAATTGGGATTTATGCCTAATTTTATTTGCTTTTATTAGATTTCACTGGCAGTCTACTAAGTACCTCTTTGCTTTTTATCACTTAGCGTTGCCTGTTTTACTGGGCTTAGCAGCTTTCAGTTTATCAGTTTTCACATTTGTTTTATTACAATGACTTATAAATAAAATACATATTTCTACCCTTATATAGGCTCTCTACTTATGAAAAGTTGTTTGGGGTAATTTAAGCCGTTGTACTGTTTCAGACTAATAACCTGAGGCTGCTGATTTTGCCAGGGAAATGTTGTTATTTTTCCTCTGTGTCGATTATCATACTGATAAGTAAAATACTATTGCATACAAATAATTTAAACTTGAGCAAGACTGGATAATTATGTTCGTGCAACTTTTCAAACATTTTAAAACATTTCAAAATATGTCAACATCATGGACATTTTGCAGTTTTGTTATCTGAAAAAATGTTGAAAGTACACTCAGGAAGTATCATTTAAGCATTTTTTACCAGCAATATAAATAGTGTTGTTTTCTATAGTTTCTCTCAAAAGTGCCTCAAGTTTGGTCATATACTCTACCTCGGCTGAGAAGGTATGCTAATTTTTTAAAATTATATTCTGCATTTGTATTTTTAACATTATTTGTTTCTAAATTCAACAAATTCTAATGTAATATCTAATTCTTAATTGATTTGTACCCCATTGTAAAAGGGGGATAACAGCACACCCATCTAAATGTTCATAATAAAATAGTAAAATTCTTATAGGCAATAAACAATCGCACACATAATTTAACAGTGTTAGTGCTATAGTTTCTAACAAAGTTTTTTTTTTTTTTTTTCATTGCAGGTGGATACAGAGAAACATGTTTCCTTTTTTTAGATTCTTCACATATTGGATTGTTCTACAGTTATCATACCCTGTAGTTTCTGAAAATCCAAGCATTTGCCAAGTGGTACAAGGTGTTCCAGGTCTTAATGGCAGAGATGGAAGGGATGGGGAGAAAGGGTTGAAAGGTGACCCAGGTAAGGGGATTTAGTAAAAGATGTTAAGGAAAATGTTACTTTTTGCATTTCAACTTTCACACAGTAATTAAATGAGATAATATTTCTGTCTGAAATGATCATGGGTTTATTGTAATATTTGGCTGAATTTATAATTAGGTATATCCAACTATTTTATGTGTAATGTTGGGAGAGATGAAAAGTGATTGTGTGTATCTCATGATTATAGAGAATTATCAATATTGTTATTATTTATATTTTGCAAACATTCTATTTGTTGTTCTGTAATACGAATACAAAACACATTTTGACAATGGATTTCTCATATTTACTTTCATTAGTTATCCTCACAAGTGGGGTTAACACTCTACTATTCTGATGCTTTTATCTTACATATGTTGTTTATCCATACATATTTTTAGCATATATATTTATTTAGCTTAATGTTTCATGTGTTATAAACCTGGGTATTCGTCCTTTAAACACCCATGTAATAGGCTGAATTTATAGTCAGATTGTAGCCAACAATTCTGCATTTTTTTAATTTATGCTTTTATCTCCCAGGGTGACACTTTCTTGCTTTTTTGTGGGGTCTGTGCTTTGGTACATGGGATTCTTGGTAATAATTGGGATTTATGCCTAATTCTATTTGCTTTTATTAGATTTCACTGGCAGTCAACAACAGCCAGTGAACAGAAACATCCTTCCAGTATAGAAGGAATACACATCTTAAGACAGATAGAGCTATATATAATGATGTGTGAGATAATTGCATAGTTAAAACAAAATAGTTTTGGTAGCACGAGTGAACAGAGGATGAACATTTTCCCGTGACTGGTACGCATTTATTATCTCACTGCTAAATACTGGCCAAATAGTGCAAACCACCATGTTATTTTTATATTCTAACATTTGAGCATCTTGTTAATTTTTAATAGCTTTTTTAAATCTTAGAATGGTAACTCTAAAGTAGCAGTTCAGTTTCTGAAATCTTGAATTTTTTTCCCCAACAATTCAAACCTAAGCTCAAGGGATTACTAACACAGAGTAATCTAAAAACATGTGCATTTAAACATGTATATGGCTGCACCAACTCAGCCATACATTATCTAAACATGTCCAGCTTGCATAGATAAGAAATTTAATTTTTTTTTTTTTATATATATATATGATAATTGGATGCTGCTGAATAGTCAAACATTTTAAGATCAAAGCCATTATTATCAAGGGTAAACGCTAGATCGGAGTCATTTGGCCATCAATATGTTTAAGTTATTAACTATATCTGTGTACCCCAGTTCTTGGTTTGTTTGTTGCTTCAACCTAGACTCTGAACCTTCAGCATAGTTATAAAATGTGTTCTACTTAGAGGTCATTCTTGTATTATTATTATTATTATTATTATTATTATCTACTGCTGATTATCTGTGGAATTATAATTTCAAGGAATTCTGGGGATCTGGCAACCATGGGGAAATGGAGTTTGTCTCTCTACCATTAAAGAGAACATATAGGATTTCCCCTGCTTCTATGATTTTAAGAGGGGCTTGTGGTGGACAAGTGAATATCGTGTACATAGGATATTTATTACTCTTGTAATCACTTTTATCCATAAGAAAAGGATCCACATATGTATATTTTGAATAGGATGGAGGAAGCTATGTTTGAGTATGTGGTAGTCATATAGCTTCATGGAATCTTACTAATGAATGCAGAAGTAATTAATATAGGGAAGGGACCAAAAACTATATAAAGAGAAAAAGTGGTAATGGCGCCTGAATTCTCCAGAATCGGTACGCATGCCATATTTTGGCTAAACTCAATTTTTTTACTGGACGAAAGAAATCATTTAATTATTTGTTTAACTGGATAATGTTATTTAGGTCTACCGGGACAAACAGGAGCTCAAGGATTAAGAGGGCCAATTGGTCCTCCAGGCAAAGTAGGACCTCAAGGTCAGAAAGGAAATCAAGGTGACAAAGGAATTAATGGCATACAAGGTAAGAAATGTTTATACTATATTGAATGGTAAAAAATATGTAAACTGTTTTATTCAGTTTCTTGTAAAAGACCAAATTGAAGTAGTGCATATGTAATAGATGTTCAGACATATACAAGGCACATTTTCTTCTAAAATATTGAGGACTTGTTCAGTAAATATCTACTTGTATTAAATTATTGAGTTTTCAATTTGCACAATATCTAATGAAATTAAATGTAACTAATCAACATACATCAATGCACTAACGTCACAGACTTTTGTAAAAGGGATAGTTCCATTAAGTCCTCTTTTGATCTAAAAAAAATGAAATACAAGTTTGAATTTAAAAAAAATATACATGTCACAAACACACGCACACGCACTTTAGGTTTAATGGAGAGAGAACTGGGCACACACTTGATATGTGACCCAGTGGTCAAGTGATAAGCTAGTAAATATTATATAGTTTTGGAAACATGGACATTCAAAACCTTTGGTTAAAAACCTCAATCTCGGTGGTGTGGGTGGGATCATAGGTTCTCACATTTGTTATAATAGTTCTTTCCCTCCCAATGACATGGTGAACTCCCTTTATGGTTGCAAAATTTAGACCACTTATTCCAACCACATTTACTTTACCATAGACCTTCGTCTTTCCTTCATCTAGGAAACTGTGAAATAAATTATACATTTTTTTATATTATTGTTTTTTGCGGGTGAGTCACACAGTATGAGAAGACACTATCCATACAAATTAAGCGCACATGAATGCTAAGAATAATAAATTTCTACAGCATTATTTCTAGGCAGCAACTTTTGAAGATTACTCGGACAGCTCAGTAAAAAAGACAAAAATGTTATCAATATCCCAAATATGACATAGGAACAGAGAAGCCCAAGGCTTGCAAAAATTGATCTGCTTCTGACACTGATATTAATTTGTGACTGCTTCCGCCACTATCAACCAACAGTGCCTATGGCTTTCCCCACTTGTAGAGAATCTTACAACTGTTTAGTCACCATCTTCAGTGATGCACAACATTGCAGCATAGAGGGACAGAGGTTGTGGCCTTCAGTAGCATTTAGAAAGGTTTCCTTAATTGCTAAGTGTTGTAAAACACATTAGACCATCTTGGGGAACTAATGTTTGGCAGTTAGAAGGTCTGAAAAGATATTACAGTCCAAAAACTGTGAGTGTGGTTGAAACAAGTAATGACAGAAGCAGGGTATTATTGTGCAGCAGCAGGAGAGAGAAACCTGATCCTCCGGCATGCTCTACATGATCACATTGATCAACCGTCCTCTCTTCTGTCCTGTCAGGATGTTGCAAGGTGAAGAGATCTTTCAGCTGAACATGTGTAAATCTGTAGAGTGAGGGAATGTCCCATTCAAAGCTAAAGCTTTTCAATGTAACAGTTGTTTCATAGTAATGCAAGTCCCTTTTCCTGTAGTTGAGCAGTAGTGGGTTTTTGTTTAAATCTTCTTCGGTGGCCTGGATCCATCCAGTAAATTTGCTCATGTCCTCTTTAGGAACAGCCATTTCCACAGCAAAGAAGGTCTTAATATAGAATATTAAGACATCAATCGTGGAGACCTAATTAGATTTGGTTTCCTTTCTGGCAGAGATTTGGCTGCTCCTGGGTTTAGATAGCACCTCCTATATCCAGTTCTTCATCATCAAAGGCCAACATAAAGTGGATACAGTCATCATGTCCACCATTTTAAGTAGGAGGATGATATATTGGGTATTCAGCTAGCAGGAAGTGAGGACTTACTGGAAAGTTTCCCCAAACGGCTCCCTAACATGAAACAACTTTCTTGTTTCTTAGAACACCAAAACACTAACAAATCTGAGTAAGCACCTGGAGCTCTCAAACAATGCATTCCCTCAAAGTGCAGGTGAACTTCACCCCTGGGTTTTTGTTTTGTTTGGCTTTAATTAAAATCATGGAACTTCACATTAGTTTAACAGAGAACAGCCTTAAGCTAGGAGAATATATTTGGATCACACAGGAATCAATTTTACACCCAATGTGTAACCACAAAAGGGAGTGTAAGCGAAATACAAAAGTCAGATATAGCAAGTGGGGATTAATGCAATGTCCTCACCATCTGAAAGCCTAAGGAAATCCTGTGTCAAATGTCTAGCCTTTGCATGGGCAGTATGTTTCGTGTGTGAAAGGTTACGGTGAGTTGCGAGAGATCAAAAGCCAGGAGTAATTTGTGGGAGTGGTAAAGAAGAAGAGGGGGAAAAAAAGGGGAAGGGGAGAGAAGGTGTTCCCAACCGCCCTCTCCCCAGCGCCAAGCCCCAAGAGCATTCAGCATTTCAAAATAAGGAACACCTGCTTGGTTCCAGCTCAACTCCAGATCATATAATCCCTCCAATGTGCCCAAGTCTGGGCACATTTCTCTGCACTTTGCGACATTCAAAAGATGTCTAGTTACTGATTTTATACACGGAAAAGGTCATTTGGCATGATGGAGCAGCATAAATAATGGCAGGAAGAGCAGGTCTGAGTCTAGGATTGTGTGTATTTCTGTGTGTATGTTGTGCCAAAATCCATTGAGATTTGCACAAGCCCACCACATATATCAGAATATCAGTCCCTGCCACTGTTCTTCACCTCCAGCATAACCCTGAGAAACTCTCAAACACCAGCTGGATCCTTTCAGGTGTCATGTACCATCATGTGAGCTGATTATACTTGTGTTGAGTTGGAGCTTTAATCTGATAGCGCTCTGGACTCGGTGAAGGGATGATAAGTGAAACCTTGTGTACATACTACACTTTAACATAGTTGCATAATTTTGTTTTTTAGCTTGTTGTCTCAAAAAAACAAGCAGCCTTTTTCTCTCATCATCTGAGGGACATAATGTCATAAATAAGAGAAAAAAAACTTTAGCTATCATTCCATTAACACACATTAATATTTATATATATATATATTTGTTTTTAGGTAATATAATTATTGTTAGTTATTTTTGCAAGATAATTTTAAATGTATGCCTCTGAGTGTGCAAATTCAAATGATGTCTAATAAATGCTATTTTCATGTAATTGATTTGCAGTGAAGTTTAATTTAAATTCAAGGTTATTCTCTATATAACAGTTCATTGTATTTAATGAGTAACCAAATTGTATTGTTTAGTTAATATCTTGTAGTATGAAACCACGCTGAAACTTATAACAATAACAGTCAAGTTCATACAATGGACATGCACACTGTAGTTATTGTATATGCACTTCAGACAATAAACTTTTAAACAGTCCGTCAGCATCTACCTAAATAATAACTTATGATAGATATCATTATTGGAGCTCACGGCTTTGCCTACCTGTGTGAAGGGAGATATTCTGTTGCAGTGACACTATGCAAATGCTGTTGTAATGACCCCTTTATGTTTTAATCAGTCTAGCAGTGACTTATCTTTAGATTTAAACCCATACTTCCCAACTTTTCAAATAGACAATGAAGGAGACACTTTAATGGTAGGGGTATGTATGGTGGTGTCGCTATAGGTGGGCTGTTCTGAGAAATTTGGTAAATATGTAAACCTGCTTTTTTTCTTTGTCTCACATGTTGATTAAGATAAAAGATGTTCTATTCGTTGCCAATGTTGCCATTTGTTTTCTCAATAATAAACCTAATGTAAATGCTGCAGGTATAATCTCGACATAATATAGTAACATTATTAAATAGTATTTTACTAATTTTCTTTTATTTTACTAATCATGATTTTCTTTTACTTTTTATATCATACAGGCATAAAGGGAGAAAAGGGATCATCTGGAGCTGCAGGGATACAAGGTGCTAAAGGTGCTTCAGGGGTTCCTGGAATCCCAGGGAGTGCTGGGGCCAAGGGCGAGAAAGGTGACATAGGTAAATAACACCATTTTAAGCTGCAATATTATGAGTAAGTAAGGATGACTAAATACATACATTCTTTATCACAGTGCCAGTTATCTGTAGGTCATATGTAAAGATTGATGTAATATGCTAAAATTGTAAATATGTAAAATGTATCAAATAATAAAATATATCATAGTTTGCTAAAAGTAGAACAATACAGCAGATAATGTTTCATAGACAGACAGATAGATCCTGGGCACAGGATGCACCGCTCCCAGGTGCCAGGGAAATGAGGCAGAAGAGGTGTGCCAGTGCCTGTAATAATAAACCCAGCATGCCGCTGTCTGTGCTCTTTTCCCTCCTCCTTACTGTAGCTTTGCCTACTTACAGCAGCACCTTTCCTAAGCCCAGGGTCATGCCCAGTTTTCATGCTGGAGACTGTGTGAAGTGAACGCATAACACGTCATATCCATACTCCTTGCTTTACACACAGCCGGGCTATTAATAGTGTTGAGGCTAGACTGAGCCTCTACCAGGCAAGCTCCGGGACTATCAGAGATCAGAATTCCAACCACCCTGGCCAAAAGTAAACCTCGGGAAAGGGGAAAGAAATTGCATTTCCTTTTTGGTTTCATTAGTAAAGCCCACTATTCCACCTGACCCCCCAACCCTCACTACAGCCTTAAACTCCCACTACACTCTCTAACCCTCACTATTGCTTCAAGCCCTACGCTGCACTTCCTAACACCCCTTCACATATCCTAACACCCCACTACTGCCTGTAAACCACCCCTACATCTTATATCCCTGCTTCAGCTCCTACCCCCATTACAGCCCATAACTTCCAACTACTAGTACCCCTAACCCACATTACATATGCTAACCCACCACTTCAGCCCCCAAACTCACAGTGCAGCCTTTATACTACAGCTCATATTTCTCACTACATATCATATCCCACACTACTGCCCTTATACCCCACTACATTCCCTCTCTTCCATTACATTCCCAATCCCCCATTACAGCACCTAACTACTGCTACTACTAATTTATATATTCTACTTATTAAAAGACTGTACACAGCAGGTGCAGAAGAAGAAGCTAAGGTTTATGTAGGAAATAAAGTTTTCCATATGAAGGCTAAATAAGCAAAGTACAACTTTATAAATCTAGCATCACAACACAGAATACTGCTATTTATTAGGAAAATGCAATTTTTTCCAGTTTTTAATATTTTTTGTTGTTGTTTGTTTTATATTATAAGGACTCAAGGGGGCAACTGGAGCTGTTGGACTGCAAGGTGCTAAAGGTGCACAAGGAGCAAGTGGGCCTCCAGGTACTTCCGGTGCCCAAGGAACCCCTGGTGCTAAGGGAGAAAAAGGTTCTCCAGGTATACAATTATATTGACTTTAATATACTCTAAACAATCTACTTTTCTTTTGTTTACAATTACATTTATTTAGTAGTATGCATGGTAGTAATTACATAAAAATTGTTAATATTGTTAATATTTTCTATGAAAATGATGATGATAAAAAAAAAAAAAAAAGAACCATGCTAGCACTAATCCTATATAAGAATTAAGATACATACGTTTTCCAGAAGTGTTGGAACTCAAACTGTAAATTGAAATACGACAAACTATTTTCTGCTATTCTTTGTATATCAATTTGAAAACATGGTAGAAAAAATAAAGGGAAGTAAACAGTCATGTAAATTATTTGCCCTTTATATTCCACTCACTTTCTCCAGTCATTGTTCAATTGTTCTGTAGCCTAGTCTCAGTTTACTAGTGTGTCCTTGTGCCTATAGATTGTTCAGTGGTGCTATTGGCTACCAGTATTTTGTCTTTTTCTCTGACTACATCTTCTCCCACTTGCCCTGACCTTTGGACTGCCTTGGATCTGCTTCTCCGTATTGCCCTTTTTTTGAATTTTATGCCAGGCTATACCACTCCTATGAAGCACCCATGCAATCACAGGCCCACCTACAATCTGTTCGCTCCTTAAGGGTATCTTGTGGGTTGTCAACCTGAGTTCAAGATTGTGTAAAAAAAAACCCTGGGGGCTGTCACACAATGGGCCAGGATGCTCTTTCACAAGTATGGGATTTTCATCAGGGATATATATTCCCTTCATTCCCACTTACCCCAAAACTATGTATTGGAGGTGATAACTGTGCTCCCCTATTGGCCCATACAGCCATGTTTTCCTCTGTTGCTCCATATGTACCAGGAAAACACGTGTTTGCTGCCAATCAGTAGAAACTTACTTTTGCAAGAGATGGTCCTTCATGAGAACCCTAAATGTTAGTGAATTAGAGATAATAACACAGGGAAGGGGGATGGAGCTTCACCATCAAGCAGACCGGACATATAGTGCTTGAGCTCCAGCTTCTTTGGCTGATTTGAGGATGCTAATACTGGTCATTGAGCTACTTTACCTGCTAAACTGAACTACCTACGTACAGGAATCCCGATTGTATATTTTGAGACCGCTACTGAGAATCCACTGGGAGCACTAAAAACCTACTCTGAGACCTGCTGGGGAGAGGCGTCCAATCTCCTTGCTATATTGTTCATATAATTGCAGAAATATAATATTTGGGCATATAATATTAATATGTGGGGTAACAACATCTTAATCCAAGGGGTGATCTGACTGCAATTCTGAGGTGTAGAAGCATTTTTCATAGTTTGTTGAAAAACTGGAAAGCACTTCAAACTCAGTTTTTGCCTACCTTTGGATCAATATCAAATACTGATGTGAGAAAGGCTGAACTTGATGGAAGCAAATCTTTTTCAGCCATGTATAACTATGTAACCAACTATGTATTCCATTTTAATGCAACTTGATAACAGGATATTGACAATTGGATTCTAAAGGCCAGAGGACTATCTGATGAAGTAATGGATACAATGCTGAAGTCAGGGAAACAATCTACTTCTTCGGTTTATTATAACATTTAGAAAGTATATTGGGAATTGGCAACACCTCTGGGAAAGAATACTGAAACATCCAACATTCCAGACCTATTGGAATTTCTCATAAATGTTTAGAGAAAGGCTTAAGCCTTGATTACCTGAAGGTTCAGTTGTCAGCTTTGATCACTACAAATTTTCAGTGGACTTTGGATCTCGCAATAAAAAAATAATAATGGAAGTACTGATATGGATCAAACCTCCAATCACAATTTTTTTTTCGTGCCTAGCATAGCACTACAGTTCGCTGGACTCTATGGACTCTACGGACTCTACATCCTTATGAAATCTGATGTTAAAATCCTTATGAAATCTGATGTTAAAACCTGTATTTCCTATTGCAATCACTTTGACCCATGGGGTATCAGAATGACAGGAGGACCATTTTTACAGTTTACAGTAGAAACAGCAGTATTTTGCCCAGAGCCAGATTTCCTTCCAAAAGTATCCTCCAGATTTCATATCAACTACTTCTGTAATTCAAAAAATCTGTAGTGTGGCAGGGAAATCAGTACCAGCATAATCCATAAGAGCTGTCTCTTAATTGTGGACATCAGTGATGGAGGATTCTATGGCTACTATCTGCAAAGGAGCAGCATTGTTTATCCAGCACCTTTGTAAGACATTAGCAACTTGATATCTTTTACTTCTTCTTCGTCTTTTGGCAGAATATTAGGCATTAGTTCTGTCTTGTTAAATATATTTTTTGCAGTGTTTGCTGTATTTTGGGGTTCTTTTCTTCTTTTTTTGCTAGCTGATTTGAAATGGATTAGCCAGCAAAAGAGAAAATCTTTTAAATTTTCGCCGTAATTCATGGGTATTATCAATGTCAGCATCAAGGATTCCTACCCCTTGAGTGCTTGGTTATGAGAATGCTGTATTAGGGGAGGATCATTCATGTATTCCTTATGTATACCCAAGAAAAGAACGTTTCAGTAAATATTTAAAGCCTTTTCTCTCTTTGCACGCATATTTTGTCTCATAGACTTTTTTAATGTATTTTTTTTTCACAAGGGTTCTGGGAACTGAGAGCAATAGCAGGAATGTGGATGGGTGACCTCAGGCATGTATTTTTCTGAGCCGTTGCTTCTTTTAAATTAAGAATCCCTGGGATTAATTTCCATTGCAACACTTTATAAGTGTACTTGTAATTATATTTTTCCTTTTTTGTGATTAATATTGTTAGATGGGAATTAAATGAGCAATTCTTTAATTTAACATAAATAGTGACTAGTCACTTAAACCTCAGGTAACTATTTTCCTTTACCTGAGTTGTGTTCATACCAGTTACTTTTTAATACACATATATATGTATGCCATATAGATGTATGCAACAAGTAATATTTAAGGCATGAAAAATCAAGACATGACATGGTTAATTCTTAAATGCTTGTAATGTTTCAAATTAGTTCTTGGTCAAGCCAGTACATTAATGAGCATGTTTATGTTTCAGATGCTTCTATGGCAATAAACTTAACAAATCTGGAGAAAAAAATTGCTGCTCTAGAGAACAAGCTGGCATCACTCCAGAAAGGTAAATTTGAGATGTATATTTGTCTTTGTCCATTATGAAACCTATCATATTAAACTGGATTGCTTCACAGAGCATAACGGACAAACACTCCAAGTGTAAAAATCACTACAGTGTGCTTTAGTGGTTATGACGCCATGAGTGCCCTGGTTCTCCTCCATTGTAAGTATTCAATTCTTTAGGCCATTGGGTCTGTGGTGACAATCATGGGGGCATGAAATACATAATCTTATCGACAGAAAACAATAAAACAATCATACCTCTTAATTGTCTTGTATCGGGTGGAGGTGGTGCTGGAGGGAAACTCACAGGATGCATTTATAAGAATACACATACCCTCTGCTAATCTCTCGCTTTTATCTCTCAACCAAATCCATACTTCCCCCCACTCCCCCTCATCCCCCCCCCATCCCAAATCAGTATTCTGTGATGCAGGATACCAGTTGTCAGGGTAAAAAGAGGTGCGTCAGTAATGCAAATAATGTCACTGACTCTGCCCAAAGAATTGGAAGATCAGCATGGTGCGATTGCATACCATTCTTCCTGCCAATCATGCAGGCTGGCCAACTCGAGCAGACTATACAGACAGTGCTGTTTAAGCACAATGAGCTTGGGGTGAATGTGTCTTATGATGCACTCTCTCTACGCTGACTCGGGACAGTTCCTGGTGTCCCTGAGCACTTACTTGTCCACTCCTTCACTTCTTACTAGCAGGCAGAATCTCCTGCTAGGTAGTCTTGAACAGAAAAAAAGGTGGATGTAGTAGAAGTGTAAAAATAAGGGGCATGCCACACTGTTAGAGAGACTGAAGCATACATAATTCCTTCTGCACAAAGCAAGAACATGTAAATAGTAATAATATATATATGTATCATTGCAGAAGAGAGAAAGCTCACTGGCTCTGCCTGAGACCTTCAGCGTAATGCTCTCAGCCAATGAGCTACACCCTACATTGCACAACTTAGTTCATACAGAGAGCTTTTGGCTCTCCATCTAGTGGAGGCGTTATGATGCTTGGAGCAAGATGTAGTGGTTTTTGTGCTTGGAGTGTTCCTTTGAAATAATAAATTAAAGAATTATTTTGGATTATTTTTTCATCTCGTGTCCTTTGTGGGTGAAGACTATAGTATCAAGATGAACCAGAAAAGGATGTAGTAAGGATATTGACCAAGGGACAGCTCAGGGTGTCTCCTACCAACAAAAACCATACATTGGGGAAGGCCTATGACTACATCTCCTAATCAATAAAGAGGCCACCTAGTTGCACTAGATAAACAGGGGATGACCCTAGTTACTAAAATTAGAAAAGGAATGAAGACAATATCCAAGACGTTCACTCCAAATGGAAGTCTAGGAATAGGTACAACGTAGGTTAAATAAGTAGCTTACATGCCAAGAAATATAATAAAAACATGTATTAGTCCATAAGGCATAGTGCTACTATTCACAGTGAAAGGGTGCCAAATAGGAACAGAGTATATGTTAGTTATAGGGAAACACCATAGGGTGCAGACAGGCATTCCACTATAGAGGGATATCTTGCTATTAAGCAGAATCAATAAGTGGTGATAAGGAAAGGGGAAAGTGGTCTAAATTCCTACACAGAGAGGAGGAGAACAAAAACCCCTAGATGTCTACTAATAGAAGATTAATCAGGATCAAAGCAAAAGGGAGGTATCTCCAGGCTTTTGTAGCGACCACTATTCCATTCCCACCATAACCACCATACCCCACAGCCAGTAAACAAGCATCTGTCCCTAATACCCAGCACCGCACAAAGCTAGTGCCTACCTGAACCAAAGACCCTATATATATATAGGTAACTACAACACAACATAATAAAGGTGCTACCTAACAAGTGCAAAAGAGCTAGGCAACAATATGTAATGTCAATCAGCATTTGCTAATGCCTGTAAGGATGAAAATATAATTTTGCCTCTTTATAAAGCACTGGTAAGACCACACCTTGAATATGCTGTGCAAATTTGGGCATCTGTTCTAAATAATGATTTTGAGGCACTAGAAAAAGTGCAGAGGTGGGCTACAAAATTGATATAAGGAATGGAACATTTTAGTTAAGAGAGGTTAATACATTTGAAGTGTAGAAAAACGGTGCCTCGGAGGGAATATGATAGCATTGTACGAATATATTCAGGGCTAATACAAACCATTGTCTGGAAATCTAGTCATAAAAAGGACTATACATAGGACACTAGGTCACACATTTAGGCTGGAAGAAAGGAGATTTCATCTAAGGCAAAGAAAAGGGCTTTTTACAGTAAGAACAAGAAGGATGTGGAATTCTCTGCTTGAAGAGGTGGATTTATCAGAGTATATACAGATGTTTAAACAGCAATTGGATAAATACTTTTAAATTTAGAATTTAATTAGTGGGGGATAATAGCTTCATGATCCAAGGATATATCTAACTGCCATTCTGGGGTCAAGAATGATTTTTTTTCCTAGTTTGTTGCTCAATTGGAAGCACTTCAGACTGTGTTTTTTGCCTTCTTCTGAATCAACAGCAAAAATCTAATGTGAGAAAGGCTGAACTTGATGGACACATGTCTCTCTTCAGCTATGTAACTATATAACTTGTCTAGAGTAGGCATAATATTTTGGCCTAAATGTATCCAACTTACACCTTTAATAAATTGAGGGGTTAGTGTGGTTTTAAAAATAAATGCCCTTAAATTTAGCAGCTATATAAAGTTTGCTCTGACCCTTATTGACATACAGAAGGAAAAACCATGACAAAGAGAGTAAATGGAATACAAGGAACACTCAGGGGGCCATAACCACTACAATGCACTGTAGTAGTTATGGTGCCAGGTGTGCTCTGGTTCCCACCAATGTAAGTAAGCAAACCATGTCCTCAATTTAATATTGCTGGATAAGCTATCCAAATCATTTAATATTGCTGGATAAACTTAAAATTATATTTTTCAACATACTAAAATATCAAAAAATATATTGTTCATAAATTAATATATCAGTATATAAAATAATACCAAAATATTACAAATTATGGTATTTTTCATAACATTACATCTTTTCAAAAGTTTATCCAAAAATATTAAATCATTTGAAAAGTTTATCTAACAATAATAAAACGAGGTGTATTGCCATGATTTATTCAATTATTCAATACTGCTAGATTAACTTTTCAGAATTTTTTTTCTAGAACGAAAATCACCTTTAAAGTCTATGGTTTGCAGTAAAATCATTTGAAATTATTTGTAAAGCACATTAAATTTAGGTCCATTTTAAAAAAACAAATTGACTTCTTAGCTGGGCCTTGGCTTCTGGCTCTCTGACTGTTGTAGTGGAGACATGGGGCGGTGTCCACTGGGCCCAAAATAAGAAGGTGAAATGTTCTAAAACAGTTAAAATACTTACAGACCTCTCCAGTCACCATAACCACTATATTGTGCGTTAGTGGTTATGTTGCTTTGGGCATTCCTTTAATTATACCACAAATATAACAAAGTACTTGAAAGCTCATCACAATTGTAAGTGACCACACCTAATGTTGGCCTCAATTTAATAAGCTTTTAAAATGATTCAATAATGTTAGAAAAGTTTTAAAGTGCTTTATCTACCAAAGTCACCATTAACATCTATGCTGATTTTGTCAATATGGCCATTTTAATTTTTTCCCAACATTATTAAATAGTTTGGTAAGCTTATTAAATCAAGGCCTTTGTGTAATGTGTAAGTATTAATATGTAAGCATTGTCTATAACTTGCTAGCAACCAGTTTGTCTGCCAACTTCGACCTTGAATTAATGTGGTTGGATAAGCTTTTTATATGATTTAACATTTTTAGATAACATTTTTAAAATTAAATACTATAAAACAATAAAATTTTTGTAATAGTTAGATATTTTCGATATATTTACATATTTGTATATATTATATATGTTTTTATAATTTGTTGAAAAAAATATTTTAACCCCTTAGTGACCAGACCGCTTTTCAATTTTCTTACTGTTTGGGACCAGGGCTGTTTTTACATTTCTGCTGTGTTTGTGTTTAGCTGTAATTTTCCTCTTTCTAAAGATACCATTATTTTCATCATATGATATAATTTACTATAAAAATAATTATAAAATATGATAAACATTTTTTAAAAACACACTTTTTCTCACTTTGACCCCCAAAATCTGTTACGCACCTACAAAAGCCAAAAAACACCCATGCTAAGTAGTTTATATTTTGTATTGAGTTTAGAAATACCAAATTTTAACATATTTTTAGCTTTTTTTGGAAAGTTATAGGGATATACATACAAGTAGGACATTGCTGTTTCAAAATATATATATTTTAAATGCATCAATAGTGACATTGCAACACAGTCATCTGTCATAAATCTCTGAATCACACCTAACATGTACATATTTTTTAAAAGTAGACAACCCAGGGTATACAATATGGGGTATGTCCAGTTTTTTTTTAGTAGTCACTTAGCCACAAGCACTGGCCAAAGTTAGCATTTAGATTTGTTTGTGTGTTAAAAATGCAAAAAAACTATTATGAACACTAACTTTGGCCAGTGTTTGTGACTAATTGGCTACTAAAAAAGACTGAACATACCCCATTTGCAATACCTTGGGTTCTCTTCTTTTGCAAATGGTATGCAAATGTCTAAGTCTCATTCCTGGGCTACCATATGCTTTCAAAGGCAACATAACCAAACTGGCAAATTGCAATGTGAAAAAATCTGAAAAAGCCTTATATTTGACCCTGTAACTTCCACAAACACTATAAAACCTGTACATGGGGGGTACTGTTATACTCAGAAGACTTTGCTGAACACAAATATTAGTGTTTTAAAACAGTAAAACGTATCACAACAATGATATCTTCAGTGAAAGTGCTATTTGTGTGTGAAAAATGCAAAAAACATAACTTCCACTGACAATATTATCGCTGTGATATGTTTTACTGTTTTGACGGGGGGAGCGATCACCCGGTAGCCGGCAGTGAGGGGGGTATTGCAGGATGCCTCGACATCAAGGCATCACTCCAATACCCTTAAAGAGGCTGGAAGCAATCATGATTGCTTCCGGCACTCAAATGTGCCGCGGACGTACAGGGTACGTCAGCAGTTGTTAACGACCGTTTTTTGTCTGATGTACCCTGTACGTCTGCAGTCACTAAGGGGTTAAAAATGTGTCCAAAAATATTAAACAATTTGGAAAGATTATCTGACAATATTAAATTGAGGCCTTTGTTGCATTTGCTGACTCACATTTAAAGGGACACTATAGTCACCAGAACAACTACAGCTTATTGCATTTGTTCTGGTGAGTAGACTCATTCCCTTCATGCTTTTTTCTGTAAGCACTTTCTTTTCAGAGAAAATGCAATGTTTACATTACAGCCTAGTGATAACATCACTGGCCACTCAGATGGCTTCTAGAGGTGCTTACTTAAGCAGTCTTGCCTAGTATGCATCACAACATATAGGTGTCTCCACCCTCTGCATCCAGACACTGACTTTTCCTCATAGAGATTCATTGATTCAATTCATCTCTATGAGGAGATGCTGATTGGCCAGGGCTGTGTTTGGCTTGTGTTGGCTCTGCCCCTGATCTACCATCTTCGCAGTCTCAGCCAATCCTATGGGGAAGCATTGTGATTGGCTCAGAACAATACTTCTGATGATGTCAGCAGACAGCTTGCAGGTCTGAGGCAGACAGGGGCAGAGCCAGCAGGTTTAGGCTTGAAGACAAGTAAGATTGTACTATATTTAGGGAGTCAAGAGAGGGCCAGGGGGGGCTAGATGGTGGTTTTAACCCTTTAGTCAGAAATATATGTTTGTGTTCCTGACCCTATAGTGCTCCTTTAAGTCATATTTGGCATTTTGGCTATTTTAAAGATCCTTTAATCAAAGTTCCTAAATGAGACACTTCTTCATCTACTTTGCTTTTCCAAGAAATGTTTTATCAACATTTCTTACATTTAAGTCCCTCTTTAAATCTACACTCGCTATCCCTTTATGTCTATCTTATGTCTAACTTTATGTCTAACTTTTAACCACGTTTAAAATCCTCTCTAAACACCTGACCACTTTGCTTCTTGCTTATGTAATTCTGTCTCACAATTGACATTTTTTAATATCTAAACATTTTTCTTTTATATCCTAGTCTGCTATTTTGAAGCTGGAGTGGTTAAATCTGGAAACAAAATATATGTAAGTAACAGGAAAGAGGGCGATTTTGCCACAGCTAAAGCTTCTTGTGAACAACTACAAGGAACACTGCCGTCTCCACAAAACAGCAATGAAAATTCTGCCATCTTCCAGATTGCAAAGTCTTTCAACAAAAGAGTGTTTCTTGGCATAACTGACATTAAAGTTGAGAATAATTTTGTTTATCTAAATGGGAACAAAATTGGGTACAAAAATTGGTTCTCAAAGCAACCTGATGGTGGAAAAAACGAAAATTGTGCAGAAATGATAGCAGAGAGTGGACTGTGGAATGACCGTGCTTGTAATGCCAAGAACATAATTGTATGTGAATTTAATTCCTGATTTCAAGGTATCATGAGTAAATCTTTATTTTCTTTACTAATTTCAATGTTTCTGTTAAATATTTCAGTTCTGATAAAAAAATTATGTTATCACTAATGTGAAGCTAAAGATTATTACATTTTCTACGTAAAATAATGAGCTAAGTACATATTCAAGCAATGCACAAGAAAAGTAATATGTATATATATATTTTTTAATCAGGACCATTAAGAAAGGTTTTGGACTTTTTAATAAACAATGGGCAGTGGAATATCTGCTCTATTACAGAGAGACAGACGTTCAAGCTTAGAAGTTTCCGTTAGCTCTCCTCAGCTAAGCCCAGTGCAGGGCAAACTTATGGGTGGGATTGCTAGCTGATAGCTCTTAGGCATGAGGACTTAACTCAGACAGAGAGCTTCCAATTGTCTGTTGGACGTAGTAGAGATGGGAAGCAGCACCTGGTGGACATCATGTAGGAAGTCAATCTGTTCTAACTATTACAATGGAGAGGGGCAGGACACTCCCAGCACCATAACCACTATAGAACATATTTGGTTATCGTGCTTAAGGTAGGATTCTTGGAAGTGAATAGATTGAAGGTGCTGCTAGATTCTAGATACCATAACCACTTAATTATCATGTTCTAATCCATAAGAAGATGTGAGCTATAGTGCTTAGAGTACCCCTTTAACAGAAGGAAAACATTAGGGAATCCACTTTCCTACTTTTATATGTTCTAAAATTGGAATAATTAGCAAATTCTATTCAGACTCACCTGAAAATAATTTTGTAAAGTTGAAGCTAAAACTAGGATTAGGTGATAAGGTGGTGCAAAAAGCACTCTTCTCTAGCCTATCTGTCTTCCTAGCATGGTCATAGTAATGCCATAGTCTTTATTATCCTCTGCTTGGTATGACATCGAACTGGATATGGCATGGAGGGAGCTGGCATCCACCTCCACTATACGCACATTGCTCAGAGCCTCAAAGCATAATTCCTCAGAATACTGAATATTTTGATAAAGTCAAAATATTGGGCAAAACATGTCAATATAGCTCCACAGTATTAAGTGTTAGAGTGCAGAGTCTGAGTGGCGACAACATCCAGGAAGTGCGGTAGATGCTTGGACCTCACTGGAAACTTACTGTTAGGAGCTGAAAGCTGTAGATTATAATTTTGAACATATATTTATGTTGTATTAAAAGTATGGTTTATTTTACAGTGTATTGTTTTATTGTTATTTGTATATCACGCCAACTAGAACTTGTGGAAACTGGGGGAGTGACCCTTGAATGCGATGTCAACTTGTTATGCATAAAATTATTTACACTGCATCAAGGGAAACTGCTCTAAGCCATGTGAGTGGATAGTACTATGCAAATTTAACACTTATAATTAGGGATGTGCATGATCCAAAAATTCGGTTCGGCACTTCGGAAATTCAGGACATAGGCAATACAGGACTTTGGCACTTTGGTTTGGTTCGGCACTTCTGAAATTCGGGACTTCAACAATTCGGGACTTCGGCACATCGGTTCGGGACTTCCGAAAATCGGGACTTTGGCAATTTGGGACTTCGGAATTCTGAATATCTGTAGGGCTCCCTAAACCAAACCCTAACCCTACCATAACGCTAATCCTAGCCATACCATAACCCTAACCCTATCCCTAACCAAAGTGCAACCCTATCCCTAACCATTCGGTTCGGATCAGAACTTTGAAAATTTTGAAGCAACCGAATGTCCGAATTTCCTGAAATTGGGCCGAATTCACATTCGGACCAAAACGAATTGTACATGTCTACTTAGAATTATCATTTTGATAGAAAGCACTATTTTGCTTATTATTTATGAACACATGGAGTTTAGGGGCAAAAAAGGGAAAATTATCTCTACAAGAAGAATGCTATATGTGTGTGGAGTGTAGATAATAAAAGGTTGGTTTGTGCACCATTTTTTTAATACATAATTAGGGTTCACATTTAGACTATATTAAATAGTCTAATATTTTTTTTACCTTGCTATTGTTTTAAAAATCATCAGTTAGAAAACACAATAAAATTAGTGCAGCAGAATATTGCTGGAATATGTCACTTTTTTTATTTTAGCACCTTGTATATTGTTTGGTGTGATTTTATATATTTCTAGAATGTTTGAAGAAGGTTGGTTTTAATACATACAGTTTTCACTACATGTTTATCACACCTAGGAAGGAAAATAATATACTATTGGTACCATAGAGACTGTTCCAATCAAATTCCCCAATTTGGGAAAAGTTCTATGGAATACATTTGGTAGGATTACAAGAAGAAACAATTTATTGGATACAGGTCCAATCAGTGATAGAATTGGTGACAATAATACATTTCCTTCAGAACCTGCAGTTTACCTCTTTATGATTTTTTTTTTCCAAGGAATTTAGGACATAAACCACTAAATAAAATTAATTATGTAATAGGTGCTTTCTTGTGTTTGAGATGTTTGTTATATCCCCATATACACCCTGTTCCAAATTATTATGCAAATTATATTTTTCTCATTTACCTAAATAATTAATGTAAATAACAGTCAGCATAATTCTCATGTTATCAACTATTAAGAGTACAATTAAAAATTTATTGAACAAACCTCCTAATGATTAATTATTACTCACAGTAAGTTTCAAAACACTTTATAGGTTGTAAAGAACTGAAAATTGTCATTTGTTGTGTTTGCAGCATATTTACTGAAATCAAAAGCTATTTCAATCAAACTTATAACAACATTTTAACTTTCTAAACATTATTGGTCAGGTTACGTATGTAAAATGTAACAGGTCATGTTACATTTTAACATAGGACCCCTTATTTGATAGCAGCTTCACAAGTCTTGCATCCATTGAACTTGTTAGTTTTTGTACAGTTTCTGCTTGCATTTGTTTGCAAGATGTCAGAATAGCCTCCCAGAGCTGCTGTTTGGATATAAACTGCCTCTCACCCTCATAGATCTTTTGCTTGAGGATGCTCCAAAAGTTCTCAATAGGATTGAGGTCAGGGGAGGCTGAAGGCCACACCATGAATTTCTCTCCTTTTATCCCCATAGCAGCCATTGATGCAGAGGTATTCTTTGCAGCATGAGATGGTGCATTGTTATGCATGAAGATGATTTTATTATGGAAAGCATAGTTCTTCCTTCTGTACCAGGGAAGAAAGTGGTCAGTCAGAAACTCCACATACTTTGCAGAGGTCATCTTTACACCTTCGGGGACCCTAAAGGGGCCGACCAGCTCTCTTTCGACCAGGTTTATGCACAGTTGCAAGACTCTGGAGGACTCTACACCTTGGCAGAAATCTTCCTCAATGTGCCTTTATCTGCACGAACCCGTCTGTGCTCTGAATCAGCCACAAATCTCTTGATCTATCTTGATCACGCTTAAGTTTTTGTGAAATATCTAATGTTTTCATACCTCGTCCAAGGCATTGAACAATTTCACTCTTTTCGGCAGCAGAGAGATCCTTTTTCTTCCCCATATTGCATGAAAATGGTGCTCTGCTTAATAATGTGGAACACCCTCCTTTAGTAGTTTTTCCTTAAATTGGGCTCACCTGGCAATCTAATTATCACAGGTGTCCGAGATTGTTTTCAGTGATCAAAAGAGCCCTGAGACACAATGCCATCAATGAGTTAAATTGAAAAACAAAATATTTAATCTTTGTGACACTTAAATAGAATTTGCATAATAATTTGGAACAGGGTGTATATGAAAATATATACTAGACATGAGAAATATAAAAAAATATAAAACATAATAGTATAGATACTACTAGTAGGTATTGGAATAGAATAGGGAATGCTCATCAATCTGCTCATGAATAGCAGAAGATGTGCCTGAAGGTGCAAGTTCTCGTTTTCTTTTCTTTTTAACTAAATTATTGACTCTCCTCTGTATATTTACCTTTTCTGGCTATTCTAAGCCAACCTGCAACTTTCACTTGCAGGCACATCTTCTGCTATTTATTACACCACACTCACCTCCCCCCCATCCCCCCTTCCCTCCCCTTCTCTAACATCAGTTGTTTTAAGTGTTAATCTTTCAGATTGATCAGTATTACTTCAGACCTAGGGAAGACGAAATTCTTGAAATATTATGTTACTCCAATAATAAAAGTATCATTGCATACTGCAATACTCTGGTATTTTGGCATCTTACATATATAATATACATACACATTATCACAAGTAATTGTCCAATCACGACTAGAGACTTCAATTATGGAATTTGTTTATCCTGTGTAAGTGCAAGTAGGTGCCTCATCCATGATCACCAGCACTTGCCTGACTCCCATGGTTAAGTCCTTACAGCTTGTCAAGAAAAATCCACGAAACATTAATCCAGAGCTCAAACACATTCCATCATAGTGCAAATGTACGTGTCTCCTTTGTAATGTATATGTGCTCCAGCAGCCCATGAAAAGAATCCTAATACGAAATATAACTTGAAACTACATATACAAACATGATTATAGGATGTGGGGCCTGACAGCCAAGATGGCCAGACATGTTCTGCACTAGCTCCAGCAGAGTAGAGCAACAAATAAGCTTATTATACTTCATACCATGCTGGATTCAGCCCTAATCGACTTCTACACTGTTCGGCAATGAGTGGGCAACTGAGGCTAATCAAGCTGACCCAAGACAGTGAGTACACACAGCACCTGACAATGAGGCCTAGCTTAAACTGCAGCCAAGTGCCTTGGAGAGACGGCCACTCTCCCGGCACGAAGCATGCCCCCAACAAAGTCTGCTTTGGAGCCCTGCGATCCCCCCTTTGGACCGGTGGGGGTTATCCCGGTCCGCGCTGGAGACACCTAACTACCCACTACAAGGGAACCCCCAGCTCACCAGCCACCCACATGGCACTCCCAAAATGGCTGCCACAGCACAACACAAACAACGTGAACACAAGCTTACCCAGTCCTGGAGAGAGAGCTTCGAGGCCCGATTCAACAAAATCTGACGGAATTTCTGGGCTAAAATATCAAGCAGACCTCCAGCCTCTACTCCTCGTGCTAAACCTGCTGCCCGAGCTGCTGAGCCAAGACTCCTACCAGGCTCTGTAATATTGAGTCAAGGTAGAAAGTCTCCACCTAACCGCCCATGTTACCGGCGGACCCCCCGGAGAAGCACCCGATGCCAGTCTCATGACCCGCAGGGGGGATCCGCAGACTTGCTGCCATACACCCTCACAAGACCTTGACCTTGGAGGGCAAAGAACCAAAGGGCAGAGGACTGTTTAAGGTCCGCACACCAGAAGGCAAGCAACATCCCAAGCAAAACACGACGGCAAACGATGGCATTATACACATCCTGAAACCTGAGGCAGGACTTTCCTGCGGCTGCTCCGCGCTTCACAATAACGGGGGTCAGCTGACAGTACCATTAAGCATATCGCTGCAGATCTGATTCATCCCTGATTGAAGAGGATGTATCCTAACTCACTAACCCCCTTATGATTCATAGTCATCTCACTTATTTCTTTTACTCTTGCTTTAATAGCCCATTAAGTTCCTGTGGCCTTATTACTGTTCTGCCTTACTAACATGTTTTATAATGCACTCTATTATTGGTGGTATTACGTGCAGCTCATATGCTCTAAGCAATGTGGTCAACCGATATTCTAGTTAATAATCTTGTTAACCAAACATGTTCATGACCTACATCTCAATATTCCTCTAATGTCATATATTATACTGGCAACTCCTTTTATTTTCTTTAACCTTGACGACATGTTACTTTCTGCCCACCTGCTACCCTAAGCGATACAGGGACAAATATTGAAAAAAAGAAAAAAAAAGCTACTCTGCAGTGTATATCTGCAGTGCTGCAAAACAGCCAGATTGGCCCATGTAAGATCCTTCCCTTGGAAGCATAGGTCCCAAACCACACCAACCAATATAGCAGGCATCACTCCCGCTGTTGTTGATATCTGTTTGGCTCATGATGGGCATGCTAACGTTATCACCATCTTAAAATATGCCATTTCCCTATGTTTTAAACCTAAGCACCCAGCGGCTGCCAAACTCCAGAATTAAACATAGTTTAGCATGTTATATAACTCTTCTTTGACAATGTTAATGTCAGCATATATATGATGTCTCAGTCACGCTTAATGCCTCACCATTACCTGACATAACGTTATTAACCTGTATGTTAATTTAAAAAATGTGCAGTTCTCTTATATGCCACAGTACTGTGCCTTGTGAAATATCTGTACCTACTGTTGTGGTAAAACATGCATGTCTGTAAACATTTTTGCACAACAAAAATACAGAATAAAAAAAAAAAAAAACATGATTATAAATCATCAATAAAAGTGGTATAAATAAATAATACAGGATATTATATCTGAACTCACTTCCTCCCAGTACCATCTGACATGGATCTGATCATGATGTTACTGGGCAGTGGCTCCCAGGCCCTGACCAGAGATGCCCATTGAGTGTCACTACCTGACACTCAATGGATACCTGATGGACAACAGTATGTGGGTCCTGGTTCCACTGTTGCCTCACCTGATGGTTGTGGGGGTCCCAAACAGATTCCAAGTAAAACAGATGCTAACAACAGGTAGTGCATTATAAAAACTTTTATTTTCCAAAATCAATATCAGTGCTCATTAAAAATACTAAATTCAGTATGTGGCCCTGTGTTTTGTATTTTTCTTTAATTCTTTATTTATAGCTCAATCCACATGCTAGTGAGCCATCAGATAGAAAACAAAGTCAATAATAGTGTACATTAGATACAATTAGAACCAGTAGGCAATAGACATGGATGGTACATGTGGAGAAATGTTTGTGTTTTTAATGAGCACTGAAATTGTTTCTGCTTCTATTGCCCGAGATCCTGCAAGTGCAATTTGATATACAGGGGTGGTTAACCACAATTAAGTCTTATATGATTGTTTTTTTGATTCCTTAAAGAACGTAGCTATATACCCTGTTATTTGGTGTATATACTTTTGTTTTAGTAAACCATAGGAAAAGGTCTCTGGGGAGGCAGCCACACATTTCCTTCCATCTTGAAAAGTTAAGCATCAGTAAGTATGGGGATTGTATTTTGTTTTGTTTTGGAACAGCCAGAATAGTTCCACAATATGGGTCTATTAATTGTCTGGATATTTAGTTTAAAACAATTCAGAAATAAAAGAAAATCTATACAATAATTATATTATTAGTATTGTTATTATTATTCTTATTTTTTTTTTTTTTTTTTGCAGTGCAAGGAACGATACAGGCTAGCTTGCAATACCACACCAGTAAGAGCAAGCAAGACGTGTTACATGACAAAACAGTGAAATGGCATTTGACAATTCTACACAATTTGTGATATGGAAAAATCAAGCTGGGCAAGCGTGTCTAAAACCCTGAATGTATGCTGCAAGATAATCAAGACACGGTTGGAACTAAGTAATAAATGTTGTTCAACATGCTAGGCAAACAAAATAGAATAAAGGCCACTGGAGCTGAGCAAACCGCTGTAATACTACATCAATCTGTGTGAGAATAAGTGGAAGTAGAGTAATAGAG